GACTAAGCAAGAAAATGCTATGTTCTGAAATGATTGTGAACAACCAGGCAATATTTGCGGAATGGGACACTGGAAGATCAAACTTAACATTACGTAAAAACCACTGCAACGCAACATGAAATGTTAGGGGACTGCTACAGCCAGGTAAATTGTATATATTGGAAAATGAACTGATTAAGGAGAAGATATATATCTGTGGGATATCTGAGACACACTGGGAAGGCCAAGGACATTGGAGGGCCACTCACTACAAAGTTTTTATATCAGGAGCTTACAAATCAGGATAAAAAGGCGTTGCAATATTAAGTTAAAAACGTTGGGCAAAATATGTACATGAATACCTTCCAAAATCTCTAACATTCCCAAAAAAAACCAATGATAATAATAGGAGATTGAAATGCAAAAGTAGTAAAAACTAAAATAAATGAACGTTTGAAAGGAACGATAGGTGCACATGGCTTAGGCGAGCTAAATGAACGAGGTGAACGGCTCCTTCAATTTGGCATCTATATGGATCTTAGTATAGTAAACACAATGTTTAAGCATCATCTGCGGAGATTAACAACATGGTCTTCGTCTGGAGTTCGATACAAGAATCAAATAGATTATATTCAAATTACTAAACGATGAAGGAGCTCAATAATTAACGTGAAGACAAAACCAGCTGCAGACCGAGCCTGCAGAGAAAAGAAGTTATGAAAGAGAAGCTCCAATATTGAAATCAGAAATTGAGGCGACAATTAAAAAACTAAAATTCAGGAAAGCAGAAGGAGACGATGGAATAATAGCTGAAACACCCAAAGAAATGGGAGAATTAGGGACGAAAGTAATACTTAGAATTTGAAATGAGATCTGGAATACCGGAAAATGGCTAAATCACTGGAGTATATTTACGTTTATTCCGATATATAAAAAAAGGTTTTATTGTAGTAATTACCGTACATTAGCATTAATATCAGAAATAAAGAAGGCACTAAAAGAAATGAAAAACAACAAATCGCCTGGAAAAGATGGAATAACTACAGAGATGCTGAAATATGGTGGACAAGTGGTAATTAATACTCTACATTCCCTTTTTATCAAGATATTAAAAGAAAAAAGAATCCCAAATAACTGGAAGGAATCAGTAACCATTATCCTACACAAGAAAGAGGATAAAGCAGATATAAAAAACTACCGTCCTATAACACTCCTCAATGTAATGTATAAACTCCTAACAAAAATTTTAACCAATAGATTGATGACAAAATTCGATGGATACCAGTCGAAAGAACAAGCTGGTTTTAGAAAGGGATTCAGCACAAGTGACCATTTACTAAGTATGAAAATACTTATAGAACGAGCAAATGAATACCACATTCCTCTATATATGGTGTTCATAGATTTCGAAAAGGCTTTCGACAGTGTCGAACATTGGGCAGTGAAAAGTTCTTTGATTAACAACCGAATTGACCACAGATATACGGAACTAATAACCAATATATATATATATAAGGAAGCCAAAACAACAATTAAAGTATATGAATGAACAAAATCATTACAAATAAGTAGAGGCGTGAGACAGGGTGATACAATATCATCAAAACTTTTCAATCAGGCTCTTGAAGATACTTTTAAAATATTAGAATGGGAAAAAAAAGGTATAACAATTTGTGGACAACGCTTGAACCATCTAAGGTACGCTGATGACATCGTATTGATAACCGATAAAAAAGAAGAATTATTTGAAATGATGAAAGAACTGGACGTAGAAGCTGGAAAGATAGGCCTTAATATGAATTACAGCAAGACCAAAACTATAACAAATACAGATGAAGATATCACAATGAGAATCGGACAAGATGAAATAGAACAAGTTAAGGATTATATATATCTTGGTCAAACTATAAAATTTAACAAAGAGAATCAAACAGCAGAGATCAAGAGACGAGTTAGACAAATGTTGCACATAAGACTAATGTATAAGAAGAGAAACGAGTGGATAAGAGAGAAAACAAAAGTGAGGGATGTTAGACAAGAAGTTGCAAAATTGAAATGGAGAGCGTGGGAATATAAACGAAGCAGAGGAAGGCCTTAAATGAGATGGGCAGATGATATCAAGAAGCACGTGGGCTCTAGATGGATGACTGTAGCGACAGACAGAGAAGAATGGAAAAGGATTGGGGAGGCCTATGTCCAAAGATGGACCGAAGAAGGCTAATTAGATTAGAGCATTAATATCACACGCGAGCAAAGTACTTCTAACCATCATTGATAAAAGAGTAAAATCAATTCTCGTACCACAAATTCCTCAAAAAGCAATGCGGATTCGTCCCAGGTAGAGGAATACGAGAACATATTCTTAATATTCGCCAAATTATCGAAAAATCTCGAGAGTTTAACAAAGAAACATATTTATGCTTTGTTGACTATTCCAAGGCTTCTATGTCGTAAAATGGGCTAAAATGTGGCATATACTCAGAGAAATGGGTACGCTAGAACATCTTATCTAATTATTACAAAAACTATATGTAAATAATACTGTTAATGTAGAAGTTAATAATGTGGTTTTAAAAAATTTCAAATTAAAATCTGAAGATCGACAGGGATGCGTAATATCCCCCATTATATCAAGTTTTTCAGGAATCGCAAGGTGGAGCAACGATAGGAGGAAAAAAAAATTAAAAACCTACATTATGCTTATGCCACTGTTATATTGGCGTCATGAACAGAAGAACTGAAGATATGCAGAAAACCAAAGTGATGATTATCGATAGAATCAGAAACAAGGCAGAGATAAAAATCATTGCAGGTTACGAAGTGGTCAAGCAATTTAATTATTTTGGCTCCGTAATTACTAACAGTGGAGGATGCGAAGACGAGATCCGTCGATGCATCACAATGGCCAGATCGGCAACAACCAAACTCACAAAAATTTGGAACAACGCTGACATCACAAAAAACACAAAAATACGCCTTGTTCGAGCATTGATATTTCCTATCGCCACCTATGCTTCAGAAACTTGGACAATAAAAAAACCCAATCAAAACGTATAATGGCATTTGAAATGTGGGACTACTGTAGAATGTTGACAATAACATGGACCGCCCATTGCACAAATAACTCAATTCTTACAAAACTTAACATAAAAGTTAGACTCATCACTATTATCCAAAATATACTGAGATATCTTGGACATATAAATAGAAGAAGAGAAAGCATCGAGCGAATCATAGTTGAAGGTAACGTAGCCGCTAAAAGATCCAGAGGAAGATCTCCAGTACGATGGCCGGACCAAATAACGGAGATGACTGGTTACTCATTCTCCGAAGCAAAACAACACGCACAAGAGAGAGATAATTGGACAGAAATTGTCACACAAATTACATGACGCCACTACATCCTTACGAATAAGAAAATATTGAGGAGGAGAGTTTATTTATAATAAAGCAAATTGCTCTTTTTTTATCTTTGTTCTGCCTAGGTATTCCGCAGGAAATAAACAGGAATCTTTACGCTTATGTTTAGATGGATTTGGGAGGATGATGAGTTGAGTTGAGTTGAGCTGTTTGAGTCCGGATTTTGTCATCGGAAATTCGTTAGTGTAGTAGTCAAAGAGAACAAATTTAGGTCTGAATGGTAAAACACCGTAGAGAGTTTTAAAAACCGACAAATTTTTGCTTAATTCGATGAGTTTTGGTTAGAAAGAGGTAATTTAATCTCGAAATGCTATGTGGCAGTTTTTGTGAAGTGAGATAATCACCGGTTTATTGCTGTATTTCGTGTCAAGAAATCTGATAACAGCGTTTCTGAGGTTTTGAGGATTAAGTGGGCCTACATGGTGATGAGTGAAAAATAAGCAGCCGAGTTTTGAAGAATACATATTGTTAGCATCCAGGATAACATGAAGCTCAGTTTGATGTTTGACCTCTCCCACGATTTGTCAAGCTTGCATTTTGTGTCTCCCATAAGTCGAATCTAGATTGTTTGAAGCTTGAGTGGGACAATGTTTTTTATTTAAATCTAAGGTAACAAACTTTCTTAATAACCTAAAAAGAAATAATCAGCCAGTGAAGCAAAGTAGTTTTGTTAAATTTTTCTAAATAAACATTTATCTTTAATACACTAAGATTTGCTCTCATTTCAGTTTAAAGGTTTATAAATAAATATAAGTTATATGGATCAGCTAATTGAAATATTTTAGTTCGTTCACAATAACTGTAAACCATTGTCAAGGTAAAAAACACAACAACAATTTGTCTAATTAAATAATAAACCTGTTATTTGTAAAAATTAATATTTATTATTTTAGCTTGACATCTAAATAAGTGGCAGTGAAATTCTAAAAGACAAACAAGTTATAAAATAGGCATTTCATTCTATTGACGTCCCGTTTTAAATCCAATATTATACTACAAAAATGTTAGACAAAAAATATTTGGAGATCACCTCTACTCTAAACATCTAGAAAAATCGAGAAAAAAATATATTCGCTACTTATTTTTTATTGACCATGACATGCTAATATGTAATATAAATTTTCATAAAAAAGTTTTAAACCGTTTGGTAGCAATGTAAAAAAATTGGATTTTATTTTGTAATTTTAACACCGCGTATCTTGATCTGGGTGCACGTTTGCATACAGGTAAATTAGACAAATTGAGTTATTTTCATCGTGGTAAAATTTATGACCAATCTTTTTGTGACACTTTGTATAATTAGGAGTAAACAATAAAATTACAAAGCAATTTTTTTACTCCAAAACCGGAAGCAGTTTTTAAAATACTTACAATATAAACAGAATCTTAAAAGTAATTTCTATTTAGAGGGTAGCACATAAAGTAAAAAAAATGTTTGGTAATTGTAGTTCATTTCTAATTAGATATTTGATAAAAAATTTACTATTACCCATAGTCATATAATTCCTCAATTAGTCAAATACGTTAGCATATCTTATCTCAAATTCAAATTTACCTATTTACAGAAACGAATTCTCCGATTTCGAAACCCTTTTTCCTATCGCGACGTAGTCATATTAGAAAAAAACCAGAAGAATCCTTAGAACGCCGGTACACAAATGATTAATCCTTTAATCGATACCCAATCAAACTACCAGGTATGTCAATTAGTTGCTTTTTTTCCCCGATTGGCAATTAGACACATTCAGCTGTGGGCGTATACAGCGATCATCTCCACGCAGGGGCGAATTGCCAATATAGTTCCTGCCTTCGCAGCGTTCTGACTCAGTTCCACATACAGAGTGTTTGTTTGCGGAGTGGCACAGGCACAGGCACGATGGTGGCGATTTATTTCGTTTGCGTTCTGATAACCGCAGGTTAGTTTATTAATAGTTCCTTTTTTGGGTGTATTGTTGCTTCTATTAAAATATTAGTGGTGTCTGTTAGCGATATTTTGACTACGGATGCTGTGGGTCCATGAGTATTATAGACTGTTAGATTTATTCTCTGTAAGTTATGTTGGCATTGAAGATTAAAGTACATGATATAGTTTGTTTTTTTGTAAATTTATTTGTTTTTAAATTTAATATTATTATATTTTATGTTATTTTTCCTACTTCAAACAGTATTCTTTTTATTTATTTACAAAACTAAAAGTAATTCTGTCAACAAGTATATTAGTCTCAGTTAACCAAACTATTCTGAACCTATTTTCTGTTGGGTCTTAGTCTTTTCTTACTTTTGTAAGTTTCGAAGGCTAGTTTCAAAATTCAATTTTTAAAAAATATACAAACTACCTTTTTCTGTTATGTTGAAAACAAAACAATTCTCTTATAATTTAATTTTAGTTTAAGTATACATTTTACAATAAAGAACAATTTATTGTTCTGTCTTGTTCATTGTTGAGTTTATTTTTGGATAAAATATTGCTGTTTGCTTCGAATCGTTTCTTGTATATCCAGGTTTAGTCCTAGCTTAGAAAATGTAAGTTTATAATCTATTGATTGTTTTAAATGGTGTAAGATTATATTTGTGTCCAATTGCCCTATTATTTTTAAACAGTTCTAACTTTCCAACATGGCTTTTACTTAAGACACTTTTACTTTCTGGAATAATTTCTTATTCTTTTGAGTTTTAAAATTAGCTACTACGTTTTGGTTTCCAACTTGGAAATGATTCCCAAAATACAAATTAAACGTTTTTCTGATTGAGTTTTATGCATAATAATAGTGTCATTACCCTTATCTGCTCATAAAATAATTATCTACTAATCTTTTTTAATATCTTTGTTTCGTTTAATAGCTTTAACTTCTCATTGTTTCCCTTTTGTTTTATTTTATTATACTTTTCTAATTTTATTTTAAAGAGGTATATAGGCAGGTACTTCTTGTTTTCATTTGGTGGTAAATATTGACATACATAACTGAACTATTATGTCTAATATATTAATGTATATTGAAACAGATTAATAGGTAATATTAAGTAAGTTTGGATCTTTTGAGAGTAGTAGTTGTAGGACAATTACGTTAGTTTTTTACTCGACACTCGACATTAACTGACGCATTTGACAGCTAAAATATTTAGTATAAGATGTTACAAAAATACTTCCATTTAGGGATTCATTAATTTTTAGTGGACATATTTTTAAATAAACAATCAAAACCTCAAACTCATTATTTTGGTCATAACTTTAAAACTTGTCTATTTGGAGATTTGACGTTGAAATACATAAACGAAATGAGATATGCTAAATTAAAATCAGATAATAAACAAAAAAGTTATTGCAAAATGCACAAGAAAATCGATGATTGGAAAAACAGTTTTTGCGAAATTTAATGTGTTTATACAATTTTTGGAACATGAGCTAATTTCTAAGACTTATCCAGATAATTTGACTAAATGGATCTGTCCTGAATGAAAAAAAAATCATTTTTATATACAAAGTGATTTAATAATAAATAGCACATTTTAAGCTTATAAACATTTACAATAACTCCGTAGAATTTAATTAAATTACTAAAAAATATTTGGAAACGTGTTTAAAAAACACATTAAAAAAATGTTTTACAATCGTTAGGAGCAAGATAGCCCGTTTAAAAAAAATCACTGTTACGTTATTTAACAACATTAAGGGCTGAAATTAACCAATTTTTTACAAGAAGAGTCAGTTTTAAACAAAGATTTTAGCAAACAAATTTATTAAAAATTGTTTAAACAAGAGTGTTGTAAACAAAGACTACTTTTTTTTCCGACTACAGCAAAAGAGTTTCAACATACAGCTTGAAACACAGTTTCAACATACAGCTTGAAACACAGTTTCAACATACAGCTTTCGTAAAAAAATGTCATGTCTCGGGTTACACTGGCCCAAATTTGCTATTTATTTTTTGTAACTGGGGTGCAACATTAAAATAATAACATTTATCATATTTTCATTCACAATTATCCAAAACAAAGCAACTAATAACTATGGGATGTACAAATCTTTTCGTAAGTCGCCTTTTTATTATTTATTAATTTAAAATATAATTATATTAAATAAATGTTATTAATAAATATTATTAAATTGTTATTTATAAACAATTTTTCCAAATATTCTTATTAAATTTTAAATAATCAGTTTTTAATATTAAAAAAATTTTCTTTAGAACAAAAAATCGAATAAACTCGGCTTCATCGTTCTTGGCGTGTGCCTGAAATAAGCTACTACGGAATTTTTAATATTCGTCTCTCTCTAATACACATATGCGTAATTCAATTGTGCTAGTCACGTTTGTCATGGTAAAGTGCGATGAGAAGGGAATGAAGAGACCACTCACGTCTCCCAGTATTGTAGCAATAACACCGATGCGTTTGGCTGATACGGTGTCGGTGATAAGTTCGGCCTCTTTACGAATATAGATAGCTGCCACTGGAGGAGGTAAACGAATCGAGCTTAGACAAGGAAAGACAGATGAAACAACTTATTGCAAGTGTTTTTACACGCACACGCCAAGAAAGATGAAAACGTCTATATATTATATTATAATACAGTCTACCCACGAAAACTCAAATGTTGACAGCTCGAAATTCTCTTGCACTTTTTTAAACTTTTAACATTTAACCTTTATAACTTGAAACACAGAACTCGATAACTCGAACGGAAATTCGAAACTGATACAAATAATATGTTCGTTTACTTTTGTAACTCATACTTTTAACGAATTTTAACTATCGTGGTCGAAGGCTCTGTATATTTTCTTGACGATACATCAGTTACGTTCAATTCCATGGACATACATTCCATAAATTAATTCTCTGTGTAATCCTAAAGGCCCGTTTTCACACTACGTCTTATGGTACGTTTTGTGGGTCATATTAAACGTACGACAAAATGTACGTTTTGTCCTGTGTATACACACTACGTTTTTCCTTCCGACAAGACGTACGTTTTGCTGTTTACATGCCACGTTTTATTGTATAGGATTTGTCCTATCCAACAAAACGTAGAATAAGGCGTAGCGTGAAAACGGGCCTTAAAGGCCGGTTTTCACGCTACATCTTACTGTACGTTTTGTTGGATAGGACAAATCCTATACATTAAAACGTGGCATGTAAACAGCAAAACGTACGTCTTGTCGAATCAAAATGAAATCCAAGGTCAGATCGCAGAAATGATGGAAGAAACATAGTTTTGCGAGAACTGATAGGATAAAACGTTACGTGAAAATACATCTTCAGACAAGTCGTCCGATCTTGACTCTAACTCAGTTGACGACTAGCTCCACTGCAGTTCACTTCATTTTTACCAAAAAAAGTCTAATAATGTCAGATTTGCGGCAATGTACCCATGATTTTCTCGGGGAATTTATTGAATTGTATAAAAATTTTAAGTAGTTCTGTTATAAAACCAAGTAGATTGCGTTACAGGTTTCAGGAATTATTTGGCTTAACGCTGGTTTGGATATTATGATTGTGAACTCCAAGTCCTTGAGGCTGCGTCCTGTTGCAAGATATCTGAGAGTTGCTGTGAGTCTTTCATGGGGTGTAATGGTTTTCCTCATGCAGGTGTCTTAGTTCGATATGTATGGTGTTACCAACTCTAGCAATTGACACAGGCTGAGGTGTCCATTCGCAAATAATTGCGTCAGTCATATGGTTCGTCTCTCAGTTATTTTAGTAACGAGACGTGGGAATACTGGATTCTTTTTAGAAGCCACTCTTTTGACCATCTTGTCTTTTTCCTCTTTATCCCCTTTTTTCTCAGTCGTAGTTGCGTTATAGTTAAAAAAATAAAAGAAAGCAGCCGTGTTTCCTCCATAATAAAAAAAATCACTGAACATAATTCACACATCTCAAGACTCTGAATTAGAAATGATATTGAAAATTCAAAGAAAAATGTAGTGTATACACTGGATAAAACGTACATTTTGTCGTACGTTTTATATGACTCACAAAACGTAAAAGAAAATGTAACGTGAAAACCGGCCTTAAGGAAGGGTACGCCAGCGGTACGAACCGCTTGCGAGCTGTTTTCCTTGTCGGCTTTTGGGACGAAGACAAAGGATATTCGCCGTTCAATTTGGACGGTGTTTGCAGCGGTATTGTCTATTCCTGTAGTCCCATCGAGATTGTGTAACTTGTTCTTAGTTTGAATTTGGTTCGTCGCTTTAAATGGATCGTGACCAGTTTGCGATGAGTTCGCTGAAAACATATTTTCAACGAACTGTTCGGGAACAGCTCGCGAGCAGTTTGCGAACAGTTTGACTCACATATGTGTACCCATCTTAACTAAAACATGCCAAGTTTAAAAAATACTGAAAAACTTCGGTTATTAATAACAAGAGAAAAAAGTGACTTAATAAACCCTGGGAAAAAAGAGAATGACACAAAATTTCAACTTGCAAAAGAATTCGAAATTGCAGAGAGAAGTAAGAATAAAATTTTAAGGTATTTGACCCTAGGCAACTCAGTAAAAAAAATCGGTCGAAATGTGCTGGGTTCCCGGATCTCGAAAAATGCCCCTTGAAATGGTTTCTGGAATGTCGAAGAAAAAACGTTCCAATCAGTGGAACCTTTGTTCAGGTGAAGGCCCTAATCTTATCAGTTAGAAAGGGTACACAGACTTTAGGGCTAGCAGTGGGTGACTGACAAATTTTAAAAAACGACTTAGCCTTTGTGTGAAATCAGTATGTGGGAAGAGTGCAGTTTGCGGGGATGCAGTTTGCGAGGAGTAAAAAAAAACTTTACGAATTTATTGGGCAGTTTTTCACCAGAAGAAATTTACAACACCGCTAAAACAGGTTTGTTTTATAGTTGTATTCTAAATTAAACATTTGATTCCAAAATAAACCAATGTCATGGTAGTAAGGAAAACAAGGAGAGCATAAACGTTTTA